CATGAGAAATAAAATAGGGAATAAAAGTTTGACCTAATGCTCAAAACACCCTTGGAGGCATTAATCAGTGTGCAACTCATTCATTTCAGAAGTTTCAGAGAGCTCAACAGCTCATGTCAGTGGATCTAGGGGGACCCAAAGGAACAAGGATAGATATTTGGGAAGAAGCCTCAGGAAGGTGAAAGGAGGTTTCTGTGGATCATGACTGGTCACACCCCTTAGAGATACAGCTACAGCTTGGCTGTTAAGCCCAATGAGTTGAGAAGATAAAAATCAGGAAGGGTCACTCCTCCTCCCCACACCTCTGCCTCGTGCCCTTCTCCTTAATAATACCTACCACCAGGGTCACTAATTTAATGGGTTAAGCCCCCATATTGATGGACCATATTTTATTAACCAGAGAGGTTACTGTGACTTGAAAGTAGGCTCCCATGTGTTGCACTCATATTCTTGCATCAGTAAATATGAAGAGCAAAATGGGGCTTGTCTCCCAGGAGAAGTCCTGAGCAGGCTTGTCCTCTTTTCTTCTTTTTTGATTTTCAGTGAATAAGTAAACTTATTACTTATAAGGGGCAGGACCTCCAGACCCGGTCACCTCTCTCCCTCTCTCATGGTCTGGGCACACTGAACAGGCTCCTCCCAAGATTGAGAATTACAAAATTGAAAGGCTTTTGCCAGAGATCACTGCACTGGATTTAGTTGGGTTTGCACAGCTACTATAAAAAGGTTGTGTGATTCCCATTATGCTGTTAGGAACTCTGTGCAAAACTCCATCAGAAATCCCATGGAGGGGAGAAATAGTACAATTTGAGCATTCCTCAGTCCCTGGCTTTAATACCATCCTGATATCACAAAGCCCTACCCAGAACCCTTCATACTTCTCTCCCATGTCTGATTCACACCGGCTAAGGTGCCCAGCACAATGCCTATCTTATAACAAAAAAATAGGTATCAGATAACTAAATGGAGTACTATCGCTGCGCTGGTATCATTAGCCATTACACAATTCTGTGCAAATCTCAATCAAGGTCATCACAAACAAAGGGTGATGACCACAGAGATCTGTAACAGCTACAGCTAGCATTTATAGAGCGAAGTATGAATACTGGCTTATTTACACTTCACAACCTCACAGAGAGGTTGGACATATAATAAGCTTTTCTTAGTGAGCAAACTGAGGCTTAGAAGGGCCAAATAACTTGGCCAAGGTACTGTCTTTCTTTTTGTTTAAAGATTTATTTATTTATTTGAGAGAGAGAGAGCATGAGTGGGAGGGGCAGAGAGAGAGGGAGAGGGAGAATCTCCAACAGACTCCCCATTGAGAGCAGAGCCCAACACAAGGCTCTATCCCATGACCCTGAGATCATGAGCTGAGCTGAAATCAAGAGTCTGACGCTTAACTGACCGAGCCACCCAGGCACCCCCAAGATACCATCTTTAGATGGAATACTAGAGAGTTGGGGACTAAAACTAGGTCTTACTAGAGTCATAGTTCATAATTCAATTTTCCAAGTTTTGTAAGCATTTTTATTTCTATAATCAGAAGAAATAAAGATATAGGTCGACATTAGAATTATGCAGCAAAGACAATTATCACCAATGACAACAAAAATGAAAACAAAGATATTCCCTAAAGAAGGGTAAGAAAGTGCTTTACAGAACATTCAGGATTGCAAAGTTATTTGAAACATAAACTAACCACCATTATTCTCAGCCTGTGAACTTTTACATTTTGTACTTTGAAAATTCCAAGAAAAACATATGTTATTTATGTAGAGTTGTACCCATGATGCTTCAGATAATATCATTCACTGAAAACTAACTCTCCATTGGAGTCCCCTAATGCCTTGTCATTTTAGCAGGAATTATGAGCTACACTAATGGTTTTTTCTTTTAAATGCACAGTATAACACTGGACATTTCAAGTTCAGGTCTGTGCTGTGCTCAGATTCATACAGTGTTCTATAGATATTAGGTTTGTTCTCCTATGTGTAATCTACAACATTTGACTCAAAGCAAGGATGTTCATTTTTGCTTATGTCTTCCACTTCTCAGTAGTGCATACAACACTGCATTCAATCTGTGACTATTAATGACAATAATCTCAACTGATACTCTAGTTACTGGACTGTAGCTCTTAATAGCAACAAAGAAGCCAGTCCACGATCAGGTTCTGGAATTTTATAATTGCTACGTGATCAATGGTCAAAGTTACCTCATTTTCAGGTGAAGATCTGAAGACTATTGACTAGCATTAGTGAGTCCTTTCTTCAACATTTCTGAAAAGGTTTCTATCCACCTTGTCATATCACTTAGAAAATCAGTCTCTGAGCACAATCCAAGCAAAACGCACTGACGCCCTAAACAGAATGTTGCATCATACCAAGTCCTTCACAGCCATGAGCCATTCCTCACAGCAGCCCAGTGAGAGAGGACTCCCTCTTAATCATAGTTCACAAATGGAGACAGTGAGGTAAAGAGAAAGGTATGGTCTGATGGGATCAACAGATACAATGTCACTGAGGGGACTTACATGGAACTCAAAACCGCACAGGTCTCCATTTGCAGATAAGAATCCTGCTACAGTGGGGCCATGCCTAACTCCATGACAGAAATTATCACAGACGAGGGTACCATCTTATTAATACAAATCCTATTACAGAAGACTCGTGCTAAACAAACAAAAAAAATATATCAATAATTAAAGTCTCAAATCTACAGGTACTCAAAGAGTCCCAAAGAACTTTTATTTTCTCTGAAACACACCTCATTTTCAATCCCACGGAATTCCCTCTCCTCCATCCTCTTCCCCTACAAGATGTTTATGCCCCATTAAACAATCAATTATTTCATTTCTCTAAATTTGTTCAGGGCTACATACTTCAGAAAAGTTTAGGCAGAATTTTGTCTATGGAGTCTTGATGAAGAACCAAGATAGAACAAAACCACATGCAATATTGAGGCTTAAAACATACGTGCAGCATATGAGCACTGGGTATTTTTTTTACATGTTAATGTTTTTTTAATAATTTTTTATTGTTATGTTAATCACCATACATTACATCATTAGTTTTTGATGTAGTGTTCCATGATTCATTGTTTGCGCATAACACCCAGTGCTCCACGCAGAATGTGCCCTCTTTAATACCCATCACCAAGCTAACCCATCCCCCCACCCCCCTCCCCTCTAGAACCCTCAGTTTGTTTTTCAGAATCCATCGTCTCTAATGGTTCGTCTCCCCCTCCGACTTACTCCCCTTCATTCTTCCCCTCCTGCTATCTTCTTCTTCTTTTTTTTTTCTTAACATATATTGCATTATTTGTTTCAGAAGTACAGATCCGTGATTCATCAGTCTTGTACAATTCACAGTGCTCACCATAGCACATACCCTCCCCAATGTCTATCACCCAGCCACCCAATCCCTCCCACCCCCCACCACTCCAGCAACCCTCAGTTTGTTTCCTGAGATTAAGAATTCCTCTTATCAGTGAGGTCATATGATACATGTCTTTCTCTGATTGACTTATTTCACTCAGCATAACACCCTCCAGTTCCATCCACGTCGTTGCAAATGGCAAGATCTCATTCCTTTTGATGGCAGCATAATATTCCATTGTATATATATACCATATCTTCTTTATCCATTCATCTGTCAATGGACATCTTGGCTCTTTCCACAGTTTGGCTATTGTGGACATGAGCACTGGGTATTTGTTTAAGGCATTTGCAGAGAACTAAATATCTCTCAGATAATACCTCACCAAATGCACACATCACATCCTGGGCTTTTTACTAAGAGTACGACCACAAAACTCATTTAATATACAATTTAAAATCTGGTCTGTAACAAACACTCCCCCTTTCCAATGCTTTCGCTTTGGATATCATCAGGAAAAAAATGGCAGAGATAACCTACTTTCTATCCCTAATACTACCCAAGAAGTATGCTTCTTCCTCCAAAGAGCTTTCTTCCCTTGAAAACCATGCAGTGGCTCTAAATGACTTGCTACTGCCTGAGTAAAAAGTTCTACAAAATTAAACTTCTTAATTTTGATAAATAAAGAACATTACTCAGAGAAGAACTTCAATGACCAGCCCAATCGCTTCTTTGTAGGTGCAAAAACTAAGGCCCAGGGAGGTTAAGAGAGTTGTACTAAATCATATTCAGTTAATGGCAGTGCTGGGATTGAGAAAAATGCAGTCATTGAACCTTCTCCCACCCAGCAATGTGACCTTTCTTGTTCCTGAGTGAATGTACTGGTTTCAGTCCTCATTCCCCCTGCACAGCCAGGGAGAGCGCTCCTCATGGAAGAGATTGCGCATGGCTGGTACATGAAGGCACTGGCCTGGGGGAAAGGGGTAGCTGGCACCATGGGAGCTGTCCTAAGTTTCATCCACACGCCACATCGGGGACATGAGAATCAGGGACTCTTCCGGTCCTCGGGAGCTGACGTCTTTCCACAATAAAGAGCACCAAAGCCAGGATACGTCCGCTAGCAACAGGCTTTAGGATCCTCTAAAAGCCTCCCCACCCCCACATGGGAAGAAAACGCGAGCCAGTGTTGTCTCCTTGTCTTTTACGGAGCTCCAGTGGATGCTCCCGACAGGACAGCCGAAACTTCTCTGTGACAGGATCAGAAATGACAGGGAATGCTCACCCACCAGAATGGGCTGCCCACTATTACAGGCTGTACATCATCCTACACAACACAACCAGAGTTCCTGGGGGCCATTCACTTCCACTCTCACATTGATTGGACGGTACAGGGTGTCCGGCCTGGATCACAGGATTATTACTCTGTTCTGCAGGATAAGGGACCATGGGGAACATCTCACTGTTCAAAACACACAAGGAGGAGGCTCATCTTCATAAGACATTCTACTTCGGTGGGGGGAAAGGGGGGGAGGAGGCAGGGCAAGATGAAAAGAAGAAAGAGAGGTAGTAAGAGTAAGAAGGCAGACAGACATACGTTCTTCTGACTTGAAGAGAAAAAGCGGATAAAATTCACACAGCTTTTATTACTCACTTACATCCCTGGAAACCAACAGATGGAATCTCTCATTGCCAAGTTCTAATGCATTTCACGTTCGTGCTCAGCATCAGGACACTGGGCTTGCCAAATACTAATAAACTGCAGACAGTGAGGTGAGTATCAAGAATCCACAGCTCCGCCCTCTGCCTCGCTTGCAGGGAGGGAAGCACTCACTCCACATTAGCCGAATTTCCACAAAAGGGGGCAGGTACATGGGTCCAGACATGTAAATGGAAGGTGACCATAAGAAATACTTACTTTTTTAGTATAAAAAATATAGAGGTGACCCCTAAGGGCAATTCACATCCATTATCTGAGAGGGCTCATTATGAGTACTGCAGCAAGTACTTCTTATCCTAAAGGAGGGTCAACAAAGTAGCTATGATAGTCATGTATTAAGGCAACCTAGAAAATAAACCTCAGGAGAGCTCTAGTCTATATCATTCTGACACTTGTAGAAATTAGTCCTTGAATACCAGGGCCCAAAACTCTTGAGCTGAAAAATTTTTATTCCTATCAACCAGCCACCTTAGTGCCTGGGCTTCTTTCTTGGATTGCTCAAAGCTTGGTATCCACATGTCCCGCAAAGAGCTCCAACGTGGAGCCAGAGATGAGAAAGCAAACACCGCAGGCTCCGGGCAACTCAGGTGTGTCACGTCAGCCTTCCACCTTTTGGGTGGTAAACCCTGTGTTGAGAGAAAGGAAAAAAGAATTAAATATATAAGAAAGCACAAGTCCTGGGTTCCTGTCTCAAAATAACAGAACCCAACATATACTTTTCCTTTTAAAGCAAATATCTTCACTCCATAGTGACACAAACAGTCGCCTGCTAAACATTTTTACCAAATTCCAGAACACAGGAAAGAAGGAAGAGATTCTACAATCTCCATGAAAGGAGACGTCTAATTCTGAGGATTGGCAGTTAGGATGGTTTTAGATCTCTTGACATTAACACTGGAAGTTAAAAAGCAATGGTAAGACTGATGAATGTGAACATTAGTGGGGAAAGCTTTAAGGAAAAAAAGCATACTTGCATAGCCTCAAAATACCTCGCCCCAAATATTTATTCGTTAGACATAGGTACACAAATTGTTTGATAATTCTGCTCTCAAGGAGGTGGAGCTTAATTCCTCTCCCTTTGAGCATGGCCTGGACTTAGTGACTCACTTAATAGAAAGGGAAAACTAGTAAACTCACAGAGAAAACCTAGCAAATACCACCTTAACCAAATGATCAAAGTTAACATCATCAGTAATAAGTCACATTGATATGATGTGTCCCCTGATATGGTGTGAAGAGAAGGGCCCTTTCACCCTGCAGTCATATTCCCCCAAATCCATAACCTACATTTTAACATGAGAAGACATCAGACAAATCCATGGAGGGATAGTCTACAAAAATATTGCTCTTCCAAAGTATCAAAGTTCTTAAAAATAAGGAAACTGAATAGCTGATCACAGTTTGGAGGAGACTAGGGAGACATGAGAGCTAATTTCAATTTGGTATCCTGGATTTGATCCTGGAACAAAAGATAACAAAGGATTTTAGTGGAAAAACTGGTGAAATATGACTAAAGTGTGCAGGTCAGTTAAGAGCAGTGGGTCAACATTAATTTCTTAAGTTTTGACAAACGTACCATGGTGATGTACAATGTTAACAATAGGGAAGGCCAGGTGCGGGGTGAACAGGAACTCTGTACTATCTTTGTAACTCTTCTGTCAATCTAAAATCATTCCAAAATTAAAAGTCTTTTAGAAGGCGATGCAAAATGCCTCCAAATTCTAGGAAAAATGGATAGTTTACACTCAGCTAAACTATTGCTTAAATGTTAGAGTAGAATGAAGATATTTCAGACATCCTCATGTATCCCTTCTCAGGAAGCTGTACGAGGGTAGGATCAAACAAAAGAGCAGAACTAAGGAAAAGGGAGACAAGCATGCAAGAGATGTGTCAGAAAAAGATAAGAAAGGATAATCCCCACGTGCTGGGGAGGGGAGCGCTCAGGCTGGTGCTCCACACGAGGTGGCGAGGGCAGCCAGCATGCTGGGGAGGCTCAGAAGGCTCTGTGAGCGATTTCTTCAACAAGATGAATGAATTGGATGTCTGGTAGATCTGAACATCTTCAGAGGAGAGTTAAACAATCAACAAGGATTGACTGAGTGATACGTACATATAAAAATAATCAAACAAGAAGGCAAATGAGAGGGAAACAAAAAGCTGTCCAGGCGAGGGAAACAAATCACAGTACACTACATGGTTCATCTCAGAATAGCAGGTGCACAATCATGATCACATAAACACTGAACATCAAAAAAAAAATGAGTGTATAAGCATGTTATTTAGAAACAATGAATAAATACCAAAATAATTAGCTAAATGTGGTGGTAAGAGATTGCCACTGGGGAGGGGGGAAGGGGAAAATAAAAGACTGCTCTTTTTTAAACTAACTTTGCAGAATTATTTAATAGTTTAAGTTTGTGCATATATATCTTCTAAAAAATTTAACTCGAAGATAATAGGGCTTATAATGTGTTAGATTTGTAATAATTAGAATCTTTACCCATCAGGAATTTAGAAAGCAGAGGAGAAAAATCAATTTGGAAATACAATAATTTGGGTACCAACCTACGGTTGGATCAACATATTCTCTCTTTGTTAAACCTCCCATTAGAAGCATATTAGAAGATATTAAGGTGTAGCCTGAAAAAGAGATGACTAGAATGCATATAAAGCTTTCTTCAAGCATCTGAAGGGACTCTAAGTAGAAGAATGAATTAACATCCCTCTTGGAAGAGGGACAAGGATACAGTTTTGCTCAAATCCTCCCTGCTCTTAGGGACCACTGACAAACGATCATGGAGTTTGGCTTCCAAGGGCCTGGAACTAGAGCACAGTTTCTTTACCAAGACAACACTGAGTGCAGAACACAAATCCAAATAGCAAACCACTAAGAAATGCTAAGACTAAAAATCTGGGAAGTCTAAACAATAATATAAAATAATACAAAAAAATTTTTTTTCAAAAAACCAGAAGTAGGCTCAAACTGGGGTTACTTTAGCCAGAGTTCATGGCTAGGTAGAAATTGTATTTAGAGCAAGAGTAGAACAGAATCAAGTAAGGAGAACCCAAAGTGATTACCATGAAACAACTTTTGAGAAGCCATTGCTCACATTTATTGACCGATAGGTACAGATGCAAGCCTATAACCCATTGAACTAAAGAGTCAGAAGCTGGTAGCTAAGAATGGACTAGAGAAGGGAAAGTGTTCAAAACAAAGAACAATATAAATGTCAAAACTAACAGAAGATAAAATGGGCTGCCTTAAAAAATAATGAAATTGCCAACACTGGAAGTGTTCCAAGATCATTAGCAGATGACTTGTTCATGATACTTGAATCACCAGTCAGCTGGTAGCCATTCTGACCACATACTGTTGGACGGCCTTCCCAACCCTGACCTTGCATAACTGTTTATATGAGAAAGCCAGTAATAATACTCTGTTTCCTTGCCTGCCCACTCCAGAGTCCATTCAACAGTGTACGACAAAGTTACATCTGAGGTGATATCACAAAGAAAAGAATCTTATGAAATGGACACTTAACTCTAGTGTTCTTGTAGAAATATTTCATAGTACGACCTGAAGGAAGTGTGTTTGATGAAATAGTTATGACATTTTAGAAGTAAGTAAATTTCAGCATCCCAAATGGACTTTCCAGCTGCGGTTCTGGGCAGAAAAACAAGCTGTTTCTAAAGTATGATTAACAAATATTTTGCTTCCAAAGAGGACATGGCTCTTATTTTAACAATAAGGACAAAGTCAAATAAACTATAAATTCATAAATTTCCTTGAGCCCATCAGGGAACTGAAATCACACAGCAACCAAGTAAACTGAATTCCATAGTGACAAGACCCTCTAAAGAAAGATGGATACATGATCTGTTTAACCTTTGACAGAACACAGGAGAAAGAGGTGGTCATCATACAAATAGGTAGTAAGAAGTGAGTTAAATTTTTAACAAATTCTTAAAGGTGAAGTATGGGCTACTATGCTGGTTTGGAATCCCTAGGAGCCCCAGAACACAAAAGAAGAGTTCAAACCCACTCTAAAGCTCTTTCCCAAGGACCTCCATCAGTTGCCCAGAAGAAAGATTAGGAGCAGAACAGAAAACTGAAAATATTTTAAACTGAATTAACATTAATGTAGTAATCTAAATTTGTAGGAGGTAGCTCAAGCAGTGATTAGAGGGAATTTTATAGCATTAAATACGTATATTATAAAAGTATAAAGGCTTAAAATCAATGACCCAGTGTCTACCTTAAATTTGAAAAGAGCAAATTAAGCCCAAATTAAGAATAATTAAAATAATAAAGAACAGAAATCATTAAGATATAAAGCAAAATAAAAAATGATGAAATCAAAAGCTAATTATTTGAATAGATCAATGAAATGGATAAACGTCTATTTAGATTAATCATAAAAAAGACACAAATTAATATCAGACATGATGGAGGTGACATATAGACACTACAGACATTAAAAGAATAAAGGAATACTAATAATGGTATGCCAGTCAATTTCACAGCTTGAATAAAATGAAAAAAATATTCCTTCGAAGACACAATCTACCAAAGTTCACTCAAAAAGAAATGAATAAGGGGAGCCTGGGTGGCTCAGTCATTAAGCGTCTGCCTTTGGCTCAGGTCACGATCCCAGGTCCTGGGATTGAGCCCTCCATCGGGATCCCTGCTCAGTGGGAAGCCTGCTTCTCCCTCTCCCATTCCCCTTGCTCTCTTGCTGTGTCTCTGTCAAATAAATAAATAAACAAAATCTTTTTTTAAAAAAAGAAATGAATAAGAGGAACAGCTTTATATCTATTAAAAACAATTCAATTTATACTTAAAAACTTTCCCACAAAACAAAGAACTACGGATTGATGACTGACTGGGAAATCTAACAAAATATGTAAGGAAAAAATAATACTAATTCTACACAAACTCTTTCAGAACACACAAGAAAAGGAGTTCCTGGGTGGCTCAGTCGTTAAGCGTCTGCCTTTGGCTCAGGTCATGATCCCAGGGTTCTGGGATGGAGCCCCACATCAGGCTCCCTGCTCTGCAGGAAGCCTGCTTCTCCCTCTCCCACTCCCCCTGCTTGTGTTCCCTGTCTCACTGTGTCTCTGTCAAATAAATAAATAAAATCTTAAAAAAAAAAAAAGAAAAAGAAAACACAAGAAAAGGGAACGTGAGACCAGCATTACCATGTAAGAAAACTAGCCAAGGCATTAGGAGAAAAAGATGGAACTGTATACCTCATGAATGTAGACGCAAAAATTCCTAGCAAAAATTTTAGCAATTCAATTCCAACAATAAATAAGAAGGATAATACATTATAACCAAGTGAAGTTTATCTCAGGAAAGCAAGTCCGTTTAACCTTCAAAAATCATCACTATAACTCACCATTAAATAAACTAAAAAAGAAAAACCATATGATCGTCTCAATGGATAGAGAAAATCATTTGACAAATTCCACATCACTCATGATAAAAATCCTCATAAAAGTAAGAACAGAAGGAAATTTTCTCAATTTGATAAAGGGCATCAACCAAAATCCTACAGTTAACATCATAAACAATAATGAAAAACAATATTTTCTCTCTATGACAGGGAACAAGACGAAGACATAT